GAGAGATACCAGCCTGTGTTTTTTTTACCTGTGAAGAGATACCAGCCTGTGTTTTTATTTACCTGTGGAGAGATACCAGCCTGTGTTTTTTTTACCTGTGGTAAGGTACCAGCCTGTGTTTTTATTTACCTGTGGAGAGATACCAGCTTATGTTTTTATTTACCTGTTGAAAAGCAAAGTGGTTATCACATTTTGTTGCTACAGCATGGGAGTTACACTGGTTACACATGGTAACTTGCAGCACTGATTGTGCGGGTTTGCAGTTCATTTGTTGATGGTTCTTCAAAAACTATGATGAAACCACACCAGTCTGTCACCTTAGCATCATAGAGTTGTGTATGAATGTTATGTGTGGATTAGTTTTTGACCACATGATGCAATTGCGCGTGTTGAAACTTCTAGAAAGGATGAAATGGGCTTCATCAGTCTATAAGATATTGGCCAAGAACTGCAAAACAAAACGAGCAGGTTGGGTTAAATTTGCCTCCTTCAGTGCTTGAACATGATGCAGCTTGTAAGAAAACATTCACTGGTTGACCACTGCACTTGTGTTTACTTGGGCTGGCTTGGACTCCTCAGTGATAGTTTCAGTAGGTGTCGGTGGTCTGCCTGTACCTGGCTTATCACAACCTGTCTCCTTTTTATTATTATGAACTTGCGCACAGCAACACCGGAACAAGACCCTCAATAGATATTATGCAATCTATGGTATTCTCAGAGAGAGCTGCCTTGGTATTGCATCCTTTCGTGAAATAACATATCCCGATATCGGGTACACATCTTATGGTGAACTAAGCCTAACAAAGACATACAATTTCAAGTGACTTACGAAAGAGAAAAATTTTCTGTTAATTTTCTATACCATAAAATTCACGATGTTTTAAAATCAGATTTCCGTGGGCAAATAAATAGTAAAGAAGTCTGCACTTTTGATTATCACAAGTTTCCCAGTACTACGAACAACAAAGGCCTAAATCGTGTAGTTGAACAGTAAAGAGCTCCAACTGAACTGATATTTTGATCGTTCAATAAATATCCTTATATAGATGTTTTTATAAGAAAACATTTCGTAAACTTTAATTTAAAAAATATCGTATTTTAATAAAAAACAACAAAGGTCTTCATATTCCTTGCCTTTTGCTGATCGATAAACTTTACGTTTTAGCAGCTCAGGTAAGTTCTTACATTTGGCTCAAGGCTACCCTGACCTTCCGAAAAATGATTTATTATACCCACATTTTATGCTTTTTATTCTGTATTCCGTATACAGTCATGCTTTTTGGGCGTGTTGTAGCAGTGGAGTAAGTTTTTTAGTTTGCTAGTTGCACCTTTTTATTTTATTTTTTTCCCACGCATTGGTATGTTTTCTGTGTACTAAGCAGCTCTGTGTTATTCAAAAGTAAACGATATATATCTGATTACGTGTTATTTCTCTGTTCTTATCTATAATGACTAGAATATGCAATTTGTAATTTAATTTCAAACACGTAAAATTATGCAATTTTCTTTTGTTTTGTTTTTTTTATTTACGTAGTTTAGAAATTGTGACGCCAAAGATGTAGTTGTATATTGAGAGCCACAAGTTAAAACGACATCATGACGCCATCTGTGGACGCCTGTAAATAGGCAACGTGCACAAAATTACAATATAGACGTGAAAAATTCTAAACCTAATCCTGGTAAACGTTCAAAAGTGGAGACAATAAAATTAAAGTGTAAAGACGAATAATTGATCGTGAACGTTGCGGTACACGAGTAACGAGCTTTTTAAAAGTTCGTATAAGGGGAATCCACGAAAAGTTCAAGAGAAGCATAACTTCAAATGAATATTGTGGCATATATAAACATTAATTAATTCTTGTTTAAGTAAAAGGCATTATATGATTGTGGAGAAGGAGGTAATATATCATGGATTCACCGAGTCTTAAGTCTATGACGCTTTTTATGATCTTTTATAATCCCCCCCCCCATTGGCACAGCGGCATGTCTGCGGAGTTACAACGCTAGAAACCAGGTTTCGATACCCGTTATGGACGTAGCACAGATAATCCTTCGTGTAGCTTTGTGTTTAGCTACAAACAAACAAGCATAATTTCGTTGGTGTGGTAAGTAAGTTCACCGTTTCAATTCAAGCTCGTGTAGTTCGAACCCAGTGGCACAGCGGTATGTCTGCGGAGTTACAACGCTAGAAACCGGGTTTCGATACCCGTTATGGGCATAGCACAGATAACCCTTCGTGTAGCTTTGTGTTTAGCTACAAACAAACAAGAATAATTTCGTTGGTGTGGTAAGTTCACCGTTTCAATCCAAGCTCGTGTAGTTCGAACCCAGTGGCACAGCGGTATGTCTGCGGAGTTACAACGCTAGAAACCGGGTTTCGATGCATAGCACAGATAACCCTT